GTGTGTGTGTGTGTGTGGGTTCACGTCAAAACTTCGTCTTCAATATCTCACTGAGGATGTTGGTAAGAAGGTTGTGCTGCTCAAGGAAGGCCACATCTCCGTAGCTTTTACCACTGGGATCTCCTACCAGACACCTGTGGATAACGAGAAAAGGGATTAAAGGCTCAGTTCAGCCAAATTACATAAAAACGTTTTCTCAATTAGCCACAGTAACATCTTGCCACACAGGTAGTTTTGATTTAATTTGCCCAAAGTTTGAGATATTGGTCTCAAAAAAAAAAAGTCCCAATGACAAGAGTTGACATTTTGTAGATTATCCAGAATGATGGGGACATGGAAAGAGTTGTTGCTGTTCATTTTTTCTTAAAGTGGCTATAATCAATATTTTTATATTAATGGATCAAATGTAAGCAAAGAAAAACAACTCATAATGAATGCTTATTATTCTTTCTATCTGCTGGAGTGTGAATTTGTTAATTCAGGTTACATATAATATCTTTAAGTCCAGTCGAGCACCATTACACTTACATCCAATTATACTTGGGGTAAAAGTCAAATCCTGAGAGAGGAAATATCCTTTATAACCCAAAACTGTTTAAATGGCTGGATACACAAAGATGAATGAGAAAATATCATCATTTTCATAAAAAAACTTTCTAAACACATCAGCAATCACAGACGAACAGAAAGTTCTGGTTCAGGTAAGCCGCTACGCATACCTTAAAGCCCCCATGTTGCCATAGAAACGCTCATTGTGGTTGTCAGCACAGCGTTTGGTGGCAGCCTCCCCGGTGCCTCCCATACACACTTTACACAGATTCCCCTGAGAGCCGGGAAGGCAGCCTTTCCAAAACACCTTGTTGTACACTGAGAAGAACACAAAGTGTCTTACTGCAGCGATACAGCACACAGAGATATAACAGGATGTTCTTATAACAACTGCCAGTGTAAATATACATTGTTAAAGTTTGTTGCGCAGGACTCCATGTGACAGATTCAGAGCAGTACCTTGGTTTGGATCACAGGGGGAGCTGCTGTTATGCTCCAGGCTTAATGTGTGTCTGTATGGCAGCAGCCAGCCTGCTGGGCTGTACATGTGAGTGTGACAGGAGCGACGGCCTCCGAGGTTCCCGATGAATATGCTTCTGCTGGAGCGCTTGGCCACTGCCACACCCACCACTGAGGGCAACACTGAGGAGAGACACAGTGGCAGTTTCAGTGCAAAGATCAGTCACATCAGCTTCAAGGTGGTCATTCACTGTAGTGTCTTACCATCTGTCTCCAGGTGGGCTGATCCTTCAGCAGGCACACATTCTCTTCCTGAGAGTCCAAACACAGTGAAAACACACATCAGAGTAGGACTGCAGCTGATACAGTAAATACACTTAATTTAGACATCCTTAATTGAGGCTCTGCCTTTGGAAAATGTTAATTGCTTTTTCAAATACCTATTTTTGATTTTAAGTGCTGCAGACCGACAAGCCATTACTAGAATAATTTAATTTTAATGCATTTATTATTTTAGTTTATATGTACTATATGTACTCATTTGTATTACATATTGTATTATTATGGGCAGTCGAGGCTTCTACATTTTGTTACAATGACTATGTTTTACCTTATTATTTTTATTAAATTGAAATAAAAGAGAGAAAAGGAAAATCCCATTTTCCCAAAGCCCATGGTGATGTCTGCAAGTCAATTGTTTTGTCCAACCAACAGTTATAGATATTGCAGATATACAATGTAGACTTCTGTAAATCAGAAAAAAGAAGCAGAACTTCATGTTTGAGCAG